GGAATATTTTTCTGCCAGATTCTCTACTGATGAAGGACAGTGCTGGAATGAGTACAACTTCACCAACGAGCCCATCTTCTTTACTGGACTTGCATCAGAGCCAGGAGCACGTTCTATGAATGTTAGTATCTGGGGCTACAGAGACTCTTACCTCAGCCAGTATTGGACCTCGTTTACCATTGACTTCAAAGAACTTCTTACTAGAACATGTGAGTGATGCGATTTAAACATATTGTTTGTCAGTAGGTTTTTATTTTAAATTAAACATGGTGTAATACTAACAAATTATTATTTTTTTTTTTTTTAAAGGTGGAGACAATGACTATGTGCAGTGGTTGGCCCACTCTGATGATATCAGTGATCCCAATGATGGTTGCTTGCTGGGCTACAAAGAGAAGTTCTTGCGTCTAAGGAAGGACTCGGTTTGCTGGAACGGGCGCGATTACATAGTCAACACCCAGCCAACCCCGTGTTTATGCACCCTGGATGACTTCATGTGGTAAGACTTGGAGACAGTAATATGCTGAAGTATAAGCACCGCTAACTAACTGTAACTGTTGTTATTGATGATCAGACTGTTGTAGATATTTGGCTGGAGCTCATTCAAGATGTGATGAAATGATTTGAATTGTAGCGTGAGGAAATGAGATCAAATTGCAGTGTAAAAGCAAATTGGAGTGGCTATTTCCACATTAACAAACTGGGGCTTCAAGGACTTATCAAATGTGGCATTGTGTGACTGTTTGCAGTGACTTTGGGTACTACCGTAAAGAGAACAGCTCTGAGTGTGTGGAGCAGCCGGACCTGAGAGACAAAGTGTTGGAGTTCTGTCTGCAGGGCAAAGAGGAGCAGTTGCAGACTAGTGGGTAAGGTTCCAGCTTCAACCTTCGTATCCAAGAGATCTCTGCCCCCCACTATTGTTAGTTTAATGTTAAACGGCGGTACTGGCAGAAATATTATCCTATAAACAAGGTCTTGCACCATCATTTTATTCAAAGCAGCATGCTGCCACTGAGCTTTGATCAGAGATATTCGACTTGTTTTACAATATTTAAACAGATATGATTACACAAGTGTAAAACGTGTTTTTTCTTTTCTAAAAGAGAAAAAGTTTTTAGAATGAGGAAGAAATTGTCACACACAGAGTAGTTAGAGGAAGCAGATAAGGGTGACAGTTTAGACTAACGCCATAAAGTAAGAGTGCATGTAAAAAGTACATTTTTATTTAGGCTTGGTTGTCTCACCTACCAATCTATAAATGTGAATAATTGTTGAGTTCAACCCTTATGGACTGAGAGTGAGGCAATATATCATATCTCGTCTTATTTTAAAACTTTATCAAAAAATTAATGTGAAATATTAATAGATGTATTTTAAATATATAGATGCTTTTAAAAGGATACCCTTGTAATGCATCCTCCTGGTGGTGCTTATCGAATAATCGGAGTATAAAAAGAATCAAAGTGAACCAAATTAGAAGAAGAAACAATGCTCTAAGAACCCCTGAATGTCAGTTGTTTAGTTTCAGGATTCTGCTTATGTAACATAACTTCTTATCGTGTAGAATGAGTGTAAATACAGCCTGCTGGGAATAACTTTTAAAACTGGGTTAT